AACTCCACCCTACGCACCCAATCAGGACTCCAAACTATAGGGTCCAAAAGTATAATGTACAATAAATTGCTTAATTTCAAGTGGCAGCTTTGATCTTGTCCCCTAAATGTAGATATCTTGACCTTTGACCTTTGAAAGATTCATCCATGTTGACTCGCTCAACCTGCAGAAAAATTTGATCCAAATAATAGAAACTATTACAACTCCATCCAGTTCCAAGTATAACTTGTTTTGACTAATGAATTCGTTTTAAGTATTTGATACTTTAAGAAAATAAAACGTTATATTTAATTTATTTTTTCAAATCACCCTCAATGTTTCGATTAGCTGGTGGTAATTAAGTAAGAAATTGAAGAGATAAATGTAATTTAGGCGAATACTCAAAGTTATAAAATTTCTTTCTTAAGAGTTGTAAAACTATCTTAAAAAATAAATAATATGAACAGAAGGGAGTTAGTTTTGATGAGACTAGTCATATCTTAAGGAGGGAAGCAGAGTCCTTTATCATTGAAGAAGGAGCCAATTATCACGACTTAAGGGAGAATTACATTTCTTGTAACTTGACCCAACACCCCATCAGAAAATGGTCATGTTTGAAGCCCTTACCCAGTGTAAGTCAGGTTGTACATAATCTGAAAATTATTTTTCACCAGTTAGCCCATTTTTTCTTTGTTCCCCTCTTTTTTCTTCGTCCCAGTTACATCCTTTGTCACTTCCCTTTTTTCTTCATTCCAGTTAGCACACCCCTTATTTCTCTGTTCCCCTTTCTTCTTCATTCCCCTTTTTCTTCATTCTTCTTCTCCTTCCCAAGTCAGCCTTTGCACCACAAAATTTCTCTACTATTGTTATTCTCCTTCAATTCTTTTCCGGATTCCAATGGTTAATTAAGGATTTAAAAAATAAAAGTCACCATTACAGGTGATTTGAAGATTCGATTTCAGAAATTGAGTTTTTCGATTTGTTAGTTGTTTGGAATGGGTGTTGTCTCAATTGATTGGAATCATCAAGATGAGTGCAAAACGTAAATTTCAAGTGATTTGGAGTAGATTTAGGCTATATTTGAGTTAAATTTCAGAGGATGCCCAAGGAAGAAGAAGAACACGTGAAGCTCCATTGATAGGATTCATTTGTATAATAATGTATAATACTGTATAAATAGTACATAATAATGTATAAACACAACTTATACACTATTATATACAAGATTGATACATTATTTATAGGTATTTGGTGAATTTCTCGCATTTTCTTCTTCTTCTTCTCATTCTTCTTATACACCTATATACATAGTGTATCAAGAATATTTTCACTCTGTGATTATACATCTTTATACCCTTATACATAATGTACCTCTTTGTATAAAAGTGTATAAGTATCGCTAACGAAAATTTTGTACGATTTTCACTTGCAATTCTTGTATAAAACTAGTCCAAATCTCCAACAAATAGCTTCAAACTTTGTATACAACCTACTTAGACTATTTCTAACAAGTTCAAACAATACCCACTCCAAATTTCTCACAAAATCATAATCGAAATTTAACAAGATTAGCATTAAAGGAGAGGAGATTTTAGGTTTCTCGCGTCTATTTTTGCGTTTTTCAGTTTTGTTTGCATATGATTCTTTTTCATTAATTAAATTAAATATTTATGGGTGAAAAATGAGGAGAGAGCTACAATATGGGTAGGTAGGAATAAATGAGGTTGTTATAATTAGAGAGAATGGAAAAAGAAAAGATCTTATTGATATTTAGCTACATATTTGCAAACTTGTAACTGAGCTAAAATAGTGCAAGGTCAACTTGTGGAGTGCATTATTCTATAATTTTGTATTCTCAAAACAGAGATAACTAAAAATGAAAAGGATTTCGTTTTTTCAATAAATACAATAACATGCACAACAACATACAGGAAGGAAAACATTTGTCCCCTTCAGATGCTGGAATACATTAAGTATAGTTGTTATGCTCTTTGCTAACATGTTACTCGAAAAAACCCTTACAATGTAACTGGGAAGCGAACTGGCTCTTAGTAAGATGGTTGATGCTGTTAACTGATCGACTCGAGTGATGCAGGACTCGTGCAACTAACATTTCCTTTGAGCTGATCAAGCCTTGATCTAAGTGAAACTGGTGATACGAGCCGAGGGTAGAAAGTGCATGAAGACTATAAACACATTCATTCAGAAGGTTGTTTCAGCAGAGACATCTATGTCACTTGGCAGGTGTAATCCGTTCACTCAATTTACTGCATGGATATCAGCCACGAATATACTACCTGAGTCGCACCAACCCCCTAAGACATCTCTGTCTGAACACTGTAAAAAACATGTACAAAAGAGCTTAATGGATGAGGAATAACAAGAAACAAGTTTCATAGCAAAGTTGGCATATTACTGAACAAAAACTCTCAAACACAGTAGTAGTTCGCGTCTTTGCGTTACAGCTCCAGAAACATAGCAGTTCATGAGGAGGTGAACAGGGGAAAAGTAAGGAAACAGAATCAAGCAAAATGATGCTGTTAACAACACTGGAGTTCAACAGTTAGTCAAGAAGCATCTGATTTAACAGAAGATCAGATCACAGTGCTGATCCATTTCAAATAAAAGAAGTGCATTGGTGGTGATTACCACCATCAAATTAACCAAGTAGAGCTGGATAATCTGCATATCACATTTACACTTAGTTCATACCTTGCTAAATCCAAGCCAATTAGAATCTCCTCGGTATGAAAATATTTTCTTGCTTTCTCGCCATCGTCCACAAAGGACCTGTGCAGAAGTATTCATCAATTGTGCTATTCAATATCAATGACAATAACATGGGAAGTATAAAGGCTGTACAATACTTGCATTCAATTTCATACCTATAGCACAAATTAATGCTCTCTTAAGTTTATCAAGAATAGGACAAAGAGGAAAAAGGTGATGGAAACAATTCACTACTGGCACTATGACTATTATGAGGAACAAAAATCAAAATGCACCATGTATAAGGATGGAGCAAGACCAGATGGCTGTGGTATAGGACCTCAAATTCGCAAGTTATAAACCATTCGTCATTTTGGCCCCCTAAACTAACAATAGATGACAGTAATCATTTCAGGGGGCAACAGACTGCTGCCTCACTATCTTGAGACTAAAGTTACAAAATTGGAAATAGTGTAGGGAAGGAAAAGGGGAAAAAGGAAATAAAAAAACAAGAAAATCTGCGGAAGGAAACTACTAAATAACAAGAACCGGTTTTCACGTACTTGAGTGATTTATGCTTCTACTTTGAAGGAAAAAAAAAATAATAACATTTTAATCATGGTAGACAGACCATGTAATGCATTTTACCCATTGCTTGGTGGGATGAATAAAAAAATTTACTAAAAATTGGAGACAGATTAGAAGATAGTATCTTCAAATTCAAAGAACTAAAAGGAAAAAGAGAGTTGGATTGGGTTGGGTTGTGAGGGGAGAAATTGAGTTCTACATTTTGTCGTTTGGGGATCTGGACAGAAATAAAGAGAGAAAAATTCCTCAGTAATATTTTTGGTAAGATTTGTTGGCCAGACTGTCACTACTTAAAAAGTACAGCAATCAACAATATTGGATCTTAATGGGGATTATTACGTTTTGAGGAATTGAGGATACACGTTGGAATAATGGAAAAAGATTTTGAACATCTTTGAAGGAATGTCTAGCTGTGCTGAAAATTTACATCAATATTGGCTCTATGTTAGTTCTATGTTTTAAGTGAAGATATAAGTTGGAGTAATGATGTAACTCTGATTCTCTACTTAATTCATGAGAAACTATGAATGGTTGGTTGTGAAATAGTCACCTCGTAGTCAACTCCTTGCACATAGACGTATTCAGGATCAATGGAAGAGAAAGCAAGTCCAGTTATCTGCCGTAGCATGAGATATTATAGTAATTAGAAGTAGAAGAACAAAGCATGGTATTAATGAAGAACATTGAAAGAAAAAATGAACAGCAAGGAAATAGAAGAAAAAAGAAACAAAAAGAATGGTCATTGAGATTGAGGGAACCAATAATGAGATGAATTAAAATATTGACCAAACAACTTCATCTGTGTGGCCTCACTTGAGACAAGGGCTATTAGCAGGATTTCTTTTTAGAAGTTCCTTTGATACCTTATTACACAAAATAACTAAAATACCCCCCCAAATACACACACATATGACAGAAATTTACCTCATATTTAGAGCAGTTTAGCCATCTTGAGATGGCCGACCACCTGCATTTGAAATGTATATTTCGCATCAGGACATTGAAGCAGACATAGGAAGCTGAGATAATTACACACTTCATGAGAAGTTGAAAGAGAGAACATATCCTAGTGCTAAAAACCGCAATATTCGATTAGAAATGTATGAGATGAAAGACAAGATCAAAGTTGGCATAGTGTATTCCAAGTGATCTGCAATTGATTAAGCGCACAAGCACACTGTAAATATAATTTTTCTTTATACAAGTTTAGCGAACAATCCCTCAGGACCAAGTAAAGCTTCATGAGGAAACAACCTTCGAGGATCATAAACGGTCACAGTGCGATCAGCTCCACCAGTTGCAATAGTACCTTTTGAAGAATTACAGACTGCATACAAGATATCTCCTACGGATCCACAGATTCGACGCACGCAACCACCTTTTTCTTTCATTCTCAAGTCCCATATTGACAGCTGCAGTCAATACAGAGTGCAGAGAAGAATCAGGAACGAACAGGGAATTCTCTGCATGATTCCAACATAAGAAAATGAAAAACAAAGGAACATCACCTGGCAACCTTCTGCAATTGCTAATATGGAACTTTCACCCCCTCCAGAAAAACTTTGCATGAACATAAGTGATGATGGATACGACAATCTGCAACATGATTCTTGTTTGCATAGATTTCTCATAGATATTTAAGAAGAAGAAAATAGTCCACGAATAGAATTATTTGCCATTTGACGGACACGTAGCAGTCAGAAATGCAATCTAAATACTTTTCCAAAAATTGACTACTACAGACAGCAAGTCACAGGTATAAACATGGATACTCAGCTTTCATAGTGAGACATAATTGAAATTGCTTATTATGATGGGAAAGGTAGGGATAAGGTCTGCGTACATACTACCTTCCCCAGACCCCACTTGTGGAATACACTGGGTATGTTGTTGTTGTTGTTGTTGTTGACGGGAAAGGAGAATGAGTAATAGAAATGGCTATGAGGAGTGCATTTAATTCCTGGACTGTTTTGCTTTGGTTCTATTTATTTTGTCTTTTGTTCACACTTCAAATAGTGTATGCTGTTTTACTCAAAAGTTGACGAGCAATTGGACTGTAGATAAAAAGATGCCTTGTATCTTCAGTTTCTTTTTCACAAATAAAGCATCTGCTAAAGGTATTAATGCTCCTTAATGTCTGACTTGTTTATCTCCGACCACAAGAAGTAAACTCAGCATTTGGCAATAGTTTCCTATATTTTGTGTCTGCTTTTGCAACACAGCTTATATATATATATATATATATATATATATATATATATATATATATATATATAAAGAGAGAGAGAGAGAGAGACTGGAAATTGAATGCTAGATGCATGATATTTTTGTACATGCTGCTTTATATATAGACCATATTTCAGAACCGGAGAACACAGTAGCAAGAAATAGAATGAACAGTTTGAGATGATACTATAAAGGATAACTGCTGTCTCCAAACCAAAGATAGGTACTTACGTACGTAAAGTGCGGAGATGAATATCTTGGTCATAAACATCTACGGTTTTGGAGAAACTGTGAGCCACAGTTGCCTGAGGAAAAAGGCCAGTAAATACTGTAATTCAGGCTGAAAACAAGAAATATGCCACTAAAAAGAATTTTTTCTTTGCAAGAGAGAACAAAGAGAGAGTGAGAGAGAAGATGGTAAAAGAAAGAAAATGAAATGCATATGGCAGAAGAACAAAAATAACCTTCCCACTTGCCTTACAAGAGTTCCACTCAACTTAAAAGTGCTTTAGAGTTCATTTGAATACCCAATATGACATTGAGAATAACAGAAACTTACTATTTGTGCTCAGGTATGTTGACTAGCTGAAGTTATTTAGCTTAATAAGCAATAGATACATGGGGCAAAAAGTACGTTACATTTAGAGGCAAGGAGATTATTTTGAGAAATTTTTTGCCATCATTTCACATTTCTCAGTATAACATAGACAAAAAGTAAAATTTGTTCCAAGCAGCAGATAGTCTAGCTGGAAAACTCTTAGGCAGAGGACAGAAGCTATATTGAAGCACACCAGAATATATACAACAGCAAATGGATAGCAAACTAATCAGAAGAAAAGGACAAGGGCCACCCTCCCTACCCCCCCCCCCCCCCCCCAATTTTCTCTAATTTGCACCCACAAGCACATATACAATGGTTTTCATACAAACTTTGCCGAGCAGGAAGAAGCTTACAGATCTGAGACATCAGGATTAAGGAGTACAAACTCAAATCTAGCAGATACATGAGATCAAATACCATGGACCATTGAGTAGGGTTGAAGCAAAGGCCTGCCCAGCTACCTTCTCCAACACCACAATCTCGAGGAGAGACAGAATATGTAAGCCTGTTGACATCTGAAAAAACAGCACTTGATCAAACCACAATCAAAATATCATGCTTGATAAGAATAACTCGCTAGTGAAATTCAATGTCTGGCCCATGTTAAAATCACATTACACAATTTTGCTTAGATCTAGTCTAATTAGCAACACTATATCTAATCAGTTTTAATCAAGAAGCAGGTTGGTAAACAACAATACAACATCACTCATACGTTAGATTATACTATTCTAAGCTCAGCATCTTTAGTTAAATTATAATAAAACTAAACAAGTGAGCATGTTGGACCACATAACTAGTGAATTTAGTTACTAACAGTTGCTTAATGCCTATATCCATAGAGAAAATTTAGGTCTACCAGGAGCTACACCAAAATAAACTGTTAATAGTTATCCGAATCCACTGCCATATAGTTCCGTGATGAAAATGAAACAGGAGAGATACCTTTACCACTGGCATCTAATCTTGAGACAATAAGGTGACCATAAGAATCCACGCTTCCCAGTGTTAAGCAACCAGTGCCTGTAGAGAGCTAGACATAGCATCAAGTTGTTGACAGCTAGAGGGTAGCTGCTTCAAGTACTTAAGAGAAAAAAAATCACTTGTAAACTAATGGAAAAACCACATAGTAAAAAAAGTGAAGATAGAAAAGAAGTAAAAGCAGCAAGTTCTCAAAAGGAAACGAGGTAGAAAACCCTTCAGATGTACAAGACCACAGCATGGTACAAATACTTTCTAACTTAAGAAAAAAGTTTTAATACTAGTTTTATAATTCAATGATGTGATACTACAGGCCATTCCTGTCGTTTCTTTTTCTAATTCCCCTTCTCTGTCTCTCTATCTATATGTATCACCGTCTCCCTCACATCATTTTTTTGGGTGGAAAGTAGAGTGAACTCCTTTATCACCATGCCTTATTTCAATACCTTAGGAGGATTATTTCACAATAAGAGAATAGCAACAAACTTTTCAGTAAATCACAAGAGCTGCCAAATTTTCAAAAGCTAAATATCACTTAATAATGCAAGTGCAACTCATGGAAATCAGAAGATATGCAGCATGTCTCCAGATCTTACCTTCAGTTTCAGCTAGCGCTATGCTTTGGATTTCTGACCGATGGGGGCAGCAATTGACCACTGAGGCCTCTAGAACCTTCACATGAACGTCATTGTTAAGCAACATCACAATTTTCTTCTTGCATCATGACAAAAAAAAATGACAAGTTTACCTCACATTGTTCAGGAATTAGGAGGTCCCCCTTTCCTAGGTTGATCAGTGAACTTTTCATTGGAATCTGTACAGTGAAGATGAAAATAAAATGAACTACTCTTTCTTGTCTGTCAAACATGTCTATCAAAAACATGCTTGTAAGAGTGTTAGTCAGCTAATAACCAGCAAGAATGTGTGTCAAGTCAATAATGAACTTATTGACTTTTATAGACAAGATAACTAAAACAATAATAACCGAGGACGAAATGAAATAGCTACATGACAACAATCTGCAATCCGACAGAGTAGCTTATTCAACTTCCCACACCCCCGACCCCCAACCAATCCTCAATCTGTCTCTCTATCTCCTCTAGTCACCTTTACAAATCACAAACAGAAGTCGTAAATTGCGTGTGCAGGGTCATATCAACAGGGGAAGATCTATAGAGTTAGCTACAGGTTCACGTGAATCCTGTAGCTTTCGTCCAAGCCCTGTATATGTATTAAGAAATACACTACTTAATAAATATTTCATTGTGAACGCAGTTATTATTGTATATTAACACTAGGTTGCTGTCGGAACTCATAAACTTAAAATTTTGGAGCCTCTTGGATATCAGACATGCAAGAAATAAAATTATAATAATTGGAAAGACAATTTCAGATTTTCCCCTCTTAAATGGGGCAAGACAATTTCAGTTTAGCATTCTAGAATTCATCTGGGGACTACAAAAAGAATTGCATATATGATAATTTCTAATATCTTGAACACGTATATACACAAGTGTAAAGCATGTCAGGGTAGGGAATTTTGAATATAAGGACTTACAAGAAGTCTGTAAATTTGGCAACCAGAAGCTACATAGACCCAACAAGAAGAATTGTTATCATCATTCACCTGCTCTCAGAAAAAGAGTTAAAATGAATTGCGAAAAATGGAAATAGGAAAAAAAGAAGAAGAGGCAATTAGTATAACGGACATGAAGGGCAAGACGAGTAGACTGGAGATTGCCAGGGGAAGGATGCTCTATAACAGTGGAAGGAATCACTGCTTTCTTCAACCACTTTGCTTTCAACTCCACCATCTCTCAGTTTCGCTGCTGCTTTTGGTTCTATGGGTTTGCTTCAACGTCCAACAATTAGAAACACTTTAGGGAAGAAAAAAAAGAAAAGAAAACTTTAGAAAGGAAAACTTTAGGAGAAATATTCTACCTATTTCTTTTACAAAAAATCTGTTTTACTTTTTTTTTTTTGTCATATACATTCATTATACACAATTATACGGGTAAAACCTATTTTGATCCTCCAACTTTGCCTTAAAAATCAAACTGTTCCTCCATAATTAAACAATAGACTTTCTGCTCCTCTTATCATATGCATTTTCTATTTTACCCTTGACATTTTTAATTCTTCATTTGTGTAGGAGTGTCAATGGATATTTAAAAACCGACTAAACCGATCGAACTGTACCGTTACGAGCACTCTCGACCTCCAGCATGTAAGTCTAAAAAGAGGGAAGAAAGAGTCAGTATAAAAACAAAGGCCATAAAGCGAAGAAAGCAAAAGGGAACTCACCCTTAAGGCCATCGCTGCCACACCGCGTGACAACTCAGAATCATTGACCTCCTGAAGAGATTTGCTCTCAGCGGCGGAGCATAGAAGATCGAACTGTGGCACCAAATCGACCGTGTCTTGCAACAGGTTGAGGTCCGATGGAATTTCGAGTATTCGAGAAGGGCCTTCCGCCCTTACCACAATTCGGGTAAAACCCTCTTCGAACATTCTCATGTCCTCAGGGTCAATGTTGGATTCGGATTCATAATCCTCAACCATGACGCCTTCCCCCTCTTATTTGCCGAAGAAGGGGTACGGTTCGGCCGAGATGACGATGGTCTGCTCGGAACAACAACAACAGCCTCAGAGCTCTGTCCATCTGTTACAATAGTCTCCTGAACGCTCGCAACAGGCATCGCCTCCGCATCCAGGTTGGCACCACCGCTGGTCTCGGGGGTCGTTAATGTAAGGTCGCCCCTTGAGGGTGTTTCGGCTAAAGAAGCCCCTTCCAACACTACCCTTCGCCTCTTCGATGGGGCTTCTCCACTACCGACGAGGGAAGGTTCCCCTGTTGAACAGACTGCGGGAACCGGAGTCTCCAGTTGAGGAGTAATCTCCAAGCGTACGGCCTTGGCCGCAGGCGCGGTCCAGCGGGCTGCCGGATTCTCTATGCCCTCGCCTGCAGTAGCTCTTGGTGCGGGCCGGGTAGAGAGCATCGGTTGACAGAACGCGAGCAGAGAAGCCCTCGTCCTTCTCGCTCCTCTCCGACCTGTTAGTAAATCGGGATTTGATAACATAACGACGAGATTAAAAAAACTAAACTGTGAAGTAAAGAACAAATCGGAACCACAACGAACCAACTCACCAGTAAGTGGCTTGCACCCAAACTTCTCATGGAAGGATGCCCACTTGCGAATCCCCACCGTGTGGGGAAGAATTGCGCCCACCCACTCATGAATATCGGCAACAAGCGGGGGAGGTAGTTTCTCGGCTGCAAAGACAAAAGCAAATCCTCAGCGAAGTCGTTTAAGGGGGGACAATTGATATCCATCTTAAGAAAAATTGCACAAATTAAACAGAAAGGAGAACTTACGAGCAAAATTCCACGTTTCAGGAAACCCCGCCGAGTTCGATACGACATGCTCCGTTCGGGCGTAAAAGTAGTTTTCCCAGAAGCGGCGGTTGGTCTTGTCGTCCATCTTCACCACCAAGCTCTTGGTTCCTCGATGGCGCATGTGAATCATCGTGCCCCGAAGAAAATGGGGGCGAAGAGGTGGAGCATATGTCCTAGAGAAATTTCTCAGCCGGCCAGCTCTGCGTACTGGATGAGCACGAGAAAGAGCTTATACGCATAGGGGGAGAGTTGAACCGGTCACACCTTATAAAAACGGCAAAAATCAACCACCAAAGAAGGAAGGGGAAGCGTGTACCCCACGATAAAGGGATACGCGTAAAATGCATAGTAGCCCGGGCGATGTAAATGCGCTATATACTTACCCCCGGGCACCATTTCAATATGGTCGAGGATCCCCCATTTGGCTTCGAACGCGGTGATCGTCGTAGCATCCATCGTGGAAGGTACGGGCTCCGGTTCATTTTTGGAAGGTCTGTTAAAATCGTCCTTGCCTTCCCCGGGCGGGGAACCACCTCATCCGCCGTCGGAAATCCCTCATCTTCCACCGTCTCTGCTCCCTCTTGAAGAAGGAATGCGTCAGTCTCCGGCACCGGAGCACCTATGGAGTAGGAAGAAGTACTGGCCATTTATTTTCTTTGGTCGAAAGAAGCAAGGATGATGAATGAGAAAGACGATTGTCACTACAAATTCTAGCGGAACCAGAGATGTGAGAGACTAAGGAAAGAGGAGAAGACTTGTGAAATTCTCTCTTAAGCAATTAAAAAACGTAACATTCAAATGAGGAGCTCCCCCCTTATTTATAGGGACATAAATTCCCTTAGCGGGAAAACCAAGAGCCGCCAGTTAGAAAACGGAAAGGGCACTAGAAACGACACAACATATGGAAAATGTGCGCCATAATGACGCATGGAAAATATTGATGACACCCTGAACTGACGTGATGGTTCAGTCTTGAAATGACGTAACGGTCCAACATGATTCTCGAAGCATCACATCGCTACCTCGCCATGAGGTTCTCGCTTCTCGCATAGAGCGTTCAGATTTTTCCACTTTGGAATCAACAGGGTCCGCCCATCGAGCTCGCCCATAGGCGACCCCAATGGGTGGAGGGACTAACTGTATGGGTCAAAATATGACCACACATGTATTAGCGTTAACATGACTGGTAAGAGGTTAACTAAGTCGTGATCGTACCCACTAGATATAATGCGACAAATACCTCGGCCACCGCCGAGATCGTGCCCTCAAGAAGCCCGTATGGCAAGAAAATGTCATAGTAGTTGAGGGAGACAACGTGAAATACAGTCAAGGGAATGAAGGCCCTCTGGTTAAGGACTGGTGGACAAAAGGGAATACTGACAATATATATAGGAGATGAGAAGACAAGAGGGAGAGGGCTTTTTCTCTCTCTCAGAAGGAGAACAACAATAAAAAGGTTTAGATAGGGAAGAAAAACCTCTGTAATTATGATTGTCAAATCAATAAATATGGATCTCACAGTCATCAATGGCATTCCTTCTTTTCCTTCTTTGCTCTTATATTACGGGACGATACTCCAAAGATGTAAGTTTATTATCATGCTTGATGTCTTTTAATAATCTTGAATCGAGCTAAAAGCTTTGCTATGTCTCATTCTTTTATTCATTACACTTAGATCTGGAGTTAATTATTCTTGGCTAGGATTTATCCTCTATTTTCTTCATTAATTAGTTAAACAAAAGGCTTAACACTTTTTGGTTAAACATGATAAAATTAAGGAGGATGGCATTTAATTATATACTCCCCCCCGTCTCATATTAATAGTCGTGGTTACTAAAACTAGTTATCTCAAATTATTTGTCACTTTAGAAGTTCAAGACAAAATTAATTATCTTTTTCCTTTTTTACCCTTAGTAATAATTATCCTTGAAAACTACAAACACCTAAGTTTGTTCAAATACTAATGAAGAAAGATTAAATATAAAGATATGAATAAGGGTAAATTAGTCAAAATCTAATCCTAATTAATTTTTCTTAAGGAGCGTGTACAAAAAAATTATGACAAATAATATGAGATGATAGGAATATATGAGATCATTCAACTTTTCATTTTTTTCTCGAAAGTTGAAGTACGCATTTGGAGCACGTGTATACTACGATTAAAAAAGTTGAGCGAACCAATAATTCAACGGAGTTTTATCCTTGTTTTTGAGTAAAATTCAGGTGGAAAATTCTATGAAATATTCTATATGTTCAGTAAGTTGAAAATAATAACGTTTCACCATCCTTTCCCTTGTGATGACTTAACATAGTAGTTATTCTAATGTGTGTGACCTGAATTTCTTTAAGTTAACTGTTAAGATTAATTATATTTTCCACTTGTTTACATAGTCAGTGTATCATTGTTAGCTTAGTGAGAGAGTTAGTTAGTGGTCAGTTTGGACAGCTGTCAGTTCGCTGCCAGTTAGTTGGTTAGGTTAGCTCCTTCTCTTTTCATACTTGTATATAGTGGGTGGAGTCCCATTAATTTTACTGAGTTTTTGAATGAATGATAGCAAAATTCTCTTCTAGAATATTCTTCTCCTCTCATCGAACGACTTCGAATCCATAGGATTTAGCTTCCGCCATTGTTGTTGCTGCATTCTTAGCTCAGCTAAGGAGGAAGCTACTGTTCTATTGCTGGAATTTGATATTAACAATATATGTATACATCTATTTGGAAATAAAAACAATTATACATATGTAGAGTTATAGTCTATAAGAGGAATTATGCAATTTCATCTATGGGTGTTAAACGGGCCGGGTTGACCTGCTTCCGGACCGGCCCAGATCGGTAGAACTCGGAACCGGCCCGGACCGGTAAGAGGGGGCTGGGCTGGGCTGGGTAGAGGGTTGGGGGGGCTGGGCCGGATTAATTATTTGAAACGGGTAACCGGCCCGGTTGAACCCGGAAGAGTTACTGTTCACTCTTACCGGGTTAACCGGCCCGGTTCAACGACTGCTTTTTTTTTTTGTTTTTTTTTAATTTTTGAATTCAGTGGGCCCCACAGACCGCTGGCAACGGTCAGGCCATTTTTTTGGTCCGTTGGCCAACGAAAATATTGCACAAATAGGCTATTTTTTTTAATTTTTAACCCTTTTTCAATTTACAAAACTAACCTTCTCTAAAACTATAAATAAACCCCCCCCCCCCGCTCTTCTTCATTTCTTCACTCAATATTCATTTCTCAATCTCAATTTCTCTCATTCTCTCATTCTCCAATTTGCAAGACTTCAAGTCTTCAATTCATCATTTCATCTTCTAATTTTATTTGGCTCTCTTTTCTTGAATTTAATTTATCGTGTTTTGTCATTCGGAATTTGAAGTTTGAACAATTGAAGTTCAAAATTGAAATACTTGCTTGACGTTTGTTCGTGGTAACATCAGAATTGCGTAATCAAGTGCTCAATTTATTGTCGAATTCGGTGCACTCCCTCCAACTCTTTCTCTTA